GACCCATCGAAATTCTTCATATGGTAATGGTTGACACATTGCCCACCTATACAGATTATTCACATAAAAGTACATCAAGTTCGACGATGGTTTCGAGGGATCGTATGACTGCATGTAAGTACATGCATGTACATACTTATTATTGGCTTTCGCGTATCTACCTGAACATTGACTTAATCCGCCGCGTATACCGCGTTCGATAAACAGGACCATGTCGATATTTGTTAGTAATTCGAAATTAACTTTTGTATGCTTCAGCATGGCATCCCACGTAAAACCGGGTAGAGTGTAATAATACGCGGGATCGAGTCCGTAACTTGTTATACAGCTTTCACGAAAGTTTTCAAAAATATCGGCCAACAGCAAGACATCTGTTTTCAAATACAAATCGCTATACTCGCCTAGCGTTTGAATGGAAAACCGTGTCCACACGTTCTCGGCGTGTGCGTACTCGCTCTCCGATACTGTATCACCCGGCAAGGAACTGTAAAATGATTCGCGCGATGGCAAACATGATTGTTCCAACTTTTCGGCACAGTCAAGGTACTTGTACGAACACGTACCACAAATTTGTACGACAAATTTTGAAACTCGGTTCGTAAAATTCTTAATTTCCTTTATCTAAGAAAGACGCTAATTTATCGAGACTGGTACTCACGAATTTGTATGAATCGATGAATCTCAATTTTATACAATTTCGCGACGGTCCATTTGGATCGTTGACACTTTTTGTGAACGAGATGTACTTTCCTTTTGTTATCGGCAATACGCTGACGGCACCCTCGAAGGCTGTAGCTATTTCTTCGATAATAAAATGCGAATCGTAACCGGACAAATTATGAAAAACTATGGGAATGCAAAAAGAGTTTTTTCAATTTAAATTACAATTGGAATGTGCGGGACCTCTGTACCGACCGGTTAGATGGCAATGATCGCGCACCCTCGTATCGTTTTCTCCAAACGGTTTTTCGCAAATGTGACAGTGCGTCGTGTTGCGAAATGTCTCCTGCTGTTCACTCGTTAAATCATCCATTTGTATGTTATTTGATAAAATTGATTTAACAAAATGTGCCAAATTCTTTAATTCTTCGACGAACCAGGAAACACAGTTCGCATCACGACGACATCGGTATACTGACAAGGACGAATCGTACGCGCATTGAACATAATATGCAATACTAAATACTTTATGATGCTGATACGTGTATCTTGGCGCTCCTCGATCAGTTTTCTCTAGAATGCACTCGAGGTCGCCGTACATCACAAATGGAAGTCACTCGAAGCTGAGCCACTTGCTGTCATCATCTGGTAATACGATTGCGCAATCACTCATCTTCTCGCAATCTACGGTGTGAGCTTCCAGCTTTTAACTCGAACTAAAGTAGTGCAAGCATCTGCAATAAAAAGACATAAATTTTTTTTCAAACATAACATATTTAAAAAGAAAAAGAATTCTATACATACCTATCGCAAAAGTATTTTCGATGATTATTTTTACTCAATTGTGAGCTCATGAGGCGCGATAAGTTTTTGATCCACGCGAAATGTCCCACACCGTTTGCTCCTTCTAAATACAGCAAATTGACGTGTCTCTCCATCTTCTGTGTGGCGAGCCGTATCGGCAGAATCTTCTTTTCTTCAATGGTGTAGACGTTGATGGAGATGCTGTTGGCGTGTTCAAACTTTTTAATTGGGTTCAATGACATTAGAAAATCGATATCCTGGGTATTCAACACCGTTGAATAATGAGGATATGCCGATGCCCGATATACGTGACTTTCGGCTGGATGCAGAGCAGCATCTACTGACCACGCGAAACATGCATTGTCCTTCGAGCATACGTTGATTGCAGCTCTCTTTAGTTGTATTTCTTGCGGTAATTGTATGGTACATCCAGCATGCAGCGGCATATATTTATTCACGTTATCAATTAAATTGAGTATACGCGACGGCGCCCATTCGCTAACCCGTTCTTGAAATTCTTCCAGCGATGCTAGGGTGGTGGGATTCTACCACTCAAATCCTGGTATATTTCCTTTGCACGTGATCTTGTATAGATTTACTCCTAGATCTCGAGCGTATTATGCGATTATTAAGAATTTATGTTATGTGTAAAAAAATTAGATCGCGCGCACGCTATCTAAAGGTTTGTATGCTAAAAATAAATGTACATAAGAAGGGAAGTGTATGTGGGAGGAGAGATTTGCTATTTTAGTATTTTTTTTCATCTGACAAAGAGTGTGGGGTGTTATGTAAAAATGTCTAAACGCGTTTTTTTTTCAATCATTGTTCGCAATGAACAAGGAGTTCAACCAACCATTAACAAAGAAATCGCGCACACAATAAGTTCTTTGACAACATATTGCAAAATATGCAGTCAAAAATTCAATATCCTTTAAAATTTTTTGTTTCTTTTGTCAGTGATAGCGATAATGTTCATTCGGAACGTAGTGTAACACGCGTGGTGCGTATACTGGGGAGGAGATATCCCCTGACGGATACATTCTACAAGTATCTCGACATCGGAGTTCGAATCGGTGGTTCCTGCGACGTAGAGTTGGCTATAGAAGACTCTCGTGGAAACGAAATTAAATTTTCTATGGATACGTGAAAAGATCTCCTACGAAAGAGGCATAACATTCTGCAGATTTTTGCTGATACATTGGGAACCTCGAGCGAGCCGATAAGCATTAATGATGTAACAGTTAAATTCCGACAACTAAACGACGTAAACCTCGCAAATCTCTCAAATTCTACCGTCTCTATGTTCATGAGCGAAAAAACCGTACAAAAGTTGTTCGCTTTCGAATATTGTATCGATCACATGTACAGTTGGCTATCTGAAAACTTGTACCTAATAGAATCTAAGTACAAGTTTATAGAAATAATACAAAATGCTGAAATTAAGGATTATGCAAATGCAATTATTGAAGGAAGGAATTATCAGCAGGAAGACCCGTGGGCAAGGTGCATGTGATCAACGATTATTAACAAGCACGGTCGTCGAGATCACCATCTCCAGCATTTGCCCTTGCTCCTGGGGAATCCGTGCGGAAAACCCAAGAGAGATAAGATGCACTGATTCTAATGCCCTGAGTTAATAAAATTATTTAATGTTGGAAAGATCCCACCGTTGTCACCAATTTTGTTGCGCGTCCGTGCGGGTTTATTTTTAAGGATTTAGGGTTTTACTGGCGTTCACGCCGCATGGGACAAGATTATCAGAAGTGCGTGCGGCCTAGCCAGGAATAAGTTAATTTAAGATAAATTAAGAAATGTAATATTAACTTTATTGTAACAGTTTGAATATAACTAATTTAATACAAACGTTGAATTTTTTTACTTTAAATACAAGCTTTTACAATAGACGTCTGTACTGGTTAACGGTCGTTATGCGAGAGTATTAACAAATTGTTTTAAATAAAATGCAATACAAAAAAAAAAACGAAATGCCGTAAATACAAGAAAATCGTAATTGGCGCTAAACTAACTTCAAACAGAATTGCCAAACGCAAAGGCTCATTCACATTCCATAACAACGGGCAAACGGGTCTCCGCTCTGCCATCTAGGAGTGACATGGGAATTAATTTATCTGTATCAAAAGTAGCGGTACGCAACACGCAATAGATTTGTATGGCAATATGGCTGCTTCGCTATCGCGCTATCCACTGCAGCGCTGCAGTCTTCTCTGCTGCGTCTGTTGTGCCAGTAGTCTAAAGACGCTTTTTAGCATGGTTCAGTATTGTAGTAAGTTTAAAAAGTGCCCGCGGTCATACATTTTTCTTTTAACTCTTTCAGTGGCGGAACTAAACTGACCTTGCTGCACTGGCGAGAAGTGCCAGAGCCGATATATCGACCCGCACTTTGTAACGCTTTACTATTCGCATTGCAAGAGAACTCTATATTGTCTGTATCTAGAGACGCGGTAGCGTCTCGACGCCCAGTTCATGAAAAATTGTACAGCCAGCCTGTATAACGTGGCGCTACCGCTTATACCTTTTACAGGAGAGATTGTCCATTCTAACCTAACTGGAAACTTTTTTTATTAATATCTCATCATGCCTGCAATATTTTCTAAATTTAAACGCCTTTTTCTTATGTAAATCGCATATAAGCTTTCGAATAAAACCAAAATAAATAAAATCGGTCCACGTACAACTGAGATATCGTAATATCATGTCACGATACATTCAAAAATATTACCGTCTTATACTTTTCCAGTCGATTTTTCGTCAACATTTAGCCAATAGGAGCTAAGGCTGTTCGTCGATTCCGTCGACTCTCGGAATCAGTCGACAGGGCTCGTCGGCCGAAATTGTAATATGGCTGCCGCTCACGCCGCTCGTTCATTTCTAACTTGTATAATCTGTCAGTTTGTATTTGTGACAGTTGTCATTTCTAACCTGTATAACCTGTCAGTTCGTGTTCGTGACATTTGGCGCCGCAAATTGAATATTATTTTAAAGGCTAAGTGTAGTGATATTGTATTGGAAAGTATATGGTTTGTTGTGGCCTGACACTCGATTATTGCAACATATTATCGACCATCGCTAATCGAGTAACAACCCGATTATGCCCGGTCAAGAATTTCCGAAATTAGCGACATACTTTGACGCGAGGACTGCAAGCTTGCAGCACTCACGCCTGGCAACATGACCATATATGGTCATGCCCGATTGCCAACAAAGACTATAAAAACAATAACATCATGTAAAAGAGAGTTCTGAGCACATTTTGAATAAAGTCATCGTTGAGAGTACATTGCTGGAGATACGATCCTTCGACTCAGCATCGAACACCGGTGAATTCCAACTCTTTAAACGCTCCAAAACCCACGATATCCCAAAATTCTTTAAAAATCGCCTGAGGGCACAACAGGTTGTAAGTGATAGCATCCCTGCGGTGCCCACCTTGTGGTAGGAATGCCTACGGGCAGTGCCGCCGGCTGACGCCTCGGCCAACTTCCGCGTTGCGGGGCCGTGGGGGGGGGGGGGGGGGCTGCCCTTACTAAGAGGTACCATTGCACAAACCTTCACACCACACTATTACAACACACTACCCTGACACCTCTGACACACATAAACACACACAGCTTTATTTACAGGGACGAGGAGAGGTCATTTCCGGGCGGTGGCCCTCTGGGAGTGCTCCCCACGTGGGTTGGCTTTGCTTTCGGTCGCCCACGTGGGGGGGGGGGGCTGATGTGCGCTTGCGCTGCTGAAGAGGTAGTGCCCCCCGGGATCAGGAGCCAGCCCCTTCGGGACCCCGACCGGGTAGTGCGACGTGAGGTGCAGGTGTCGGAGCCTGCACCTGCTACGGGCGGGTCTCCCCTGTGCGGAATTCCCGGGGGGGAAAACGTATACGACGGGCCACGAGGAACTGGGGTGGGGGGTCCTGTCTTTCGTTAGGCAGATCCCCCGAGAGTATACCCGTTCCCGTCCTGCGGCCCCCCATGCCGCTCACGATGTGCTGGTGAAACCTTAACTATATCAAGAAAAATCAACACAACCGAAAGAACTAGAGTCAGGTTGGCCAACGATAACCGGGGTGGCAGCACCCCTGCAGGAGGAGGTGTTCTCCACGTCCGCCTCTAGGATTAAGGGCGGAGCGGGGAAGCGACGAGCGGGTCCCGCGAGTAGGGTGGCCAGTGCGGGCGCGACGGCCAGTGACACGTCTGGCGAGGAGGCGGCCACAACCGTGCGGCGTAACACCCTGGCTCTGGGTGAAAATCTCAAGGACATAACCATCTAGACGGGAGGGCCAGTGGCGAGGTCCCCACCGGAAGCAGACAGGAGTGTCCCTCCCATTACTCTCTCGCTGGTGGTGATAGGGGATAGTCCGTGGAAAAATCACGAAGATGATGTCCCTATAAAACCAGCGGAGGTGGCCCACGCTAGTACAGGGTATGCGGGAGGGGGGGGGACAAACCCAGGGGGGCGGAGCGGTGCCGGCGGAGCTGCTTGCGGTTGTCTCCGACATGGAGGCCCTCGTGGCAAAGCTCGCCGCCCGCTTGACAGGGGACCCGGAGGTCAGGGCTCTGGGAAAAAAGTGCAAAAACAGCACTGAAAAATGGGGGGAGGAGAAGCTGCGGGGTGGTGGGTTCGCATGTGGCCCGCGCGCGACCGTTGCCGGCGTGGAGGTGGCCTCGCAAACGGAGCCATCGGTGGAAAGTGCGGGGCGGGTACCCCACAAAGTAACGGGGGGGGGGGGGGGGGGAGCCAAATGGAAGGCCGGTAACTCGGCCTCGGATTGCGCTGCTAGCACCGGGCTGGTGGTCAGGAAGAGGGTGGCCCTTCCCGGGGAGGGCTGGACAGCGGTTACTCCCCGGAAGGGTAGGGGTAAAAGCAAGAAGATGAAGAGGAATACAGAGGGACAGGCGGTCCCGGCGCCTCCACCTGCGGAGAACGTGTGGATTAAAAGGGCGCAGGGGAAGGTTGAGGGCGTGGCGGGTGGTACGCCTCCGGTGGTGGGGGTGGCCCCCGTCCGGCCCCATGGAAGGAAGTTAGGGGGAGTAAAGGAGCCGACGGCGCCAAAGTCTTCGGAGATCCGGCCAAGCCGCCGATACAGCGTAGAGGCAAGGCCAGGTCGGAGGCCGTCATAGTCTCGGCCCTCGGGGTTAGATACGAGGACCTCGTCCGACAGGTGGCTGGCCCCCCGGGGGACCCGGCCGGGGGGGGGGGGGGCGTAAAGCGAATTAGGATGACA